AATGAGATACGTACCATGCCATCAAATAGGTATATGGCAGGGGAACTCGAGGATTTGGTGTCACCAAACTCTTCTTTCCTTCAGAATCTACCTCCTTCACCTGAATGAATTCGAGGCACAACTCCCTCAAACCATGCTGCAAATAGCAAGTCATAGCTGAAAGCAAGTTCACAGGTCTCCCATAAGCTAAGAGGACAGCTGGGTAGACTACCTCTATCATCACAGCATCTATGGGCCTCGTCGGGACGACACATCGCTTGAGCCATAATATGAGGAAGCCGGCCAACAAGGCCCTATCAGAAATAGACACAACAGCCTGGTGATGGAAACTTTCAAACTCAGTCTGTGCAGGAAAATCCTCTTCCAATCCCTCGTTGACATAATAGGTCGTAGCATCGTTGATCAGAGTTTGGATTGTCTCAGGGGAACTCACGTTCCGACGAGACACATCAGTAGTTTTGTGGGATAAATTCTGGAATAGATAATCAGCCCAGGATAGCTGCTTTATACCACGTCCTCGGGCCCCCGTCAATTGAGCACAGATTTGAAAATGACACATCACCTCCCATAGAGTGTCATAGACGTCATGATGCTTCTCCTTCAAAATCCTGAGCTCGTTTGATCCTGGGAAGAACTCCTCATAGGGTAAATCTCCAAAAGGAAGACCCAAAACGTCATACATTTCGTGGAGGGCAAACCCCAATTCCCGCACTGGTATGAATAATGTACATGTCTCCGGGTTATAGTTCTCGGGAACAGCGAAAAAATTGTAATAGTTGTAGTCAACACCACATCTGGTAGCTATTACAGGACAACCAAGTCCAGACTGAGCTAAAGATCCCTCTAACTATGTTATTACAAAGTCCGTCATTCGCGTCCACCATCCTGTAGAGTGTACCCATCCAGGAGCCCTGAATACTGAGGAGGGGAACTCTCCTTTCGCGGCCAGAAATCTCCGCATAAAAGTATTGGTCGTACTAGCTGTTTCTCCTAAAGGATACCCCCGTGAGAACAAGCAAGGCTCCAAAGCGGACACTTGTCGATTGTAACCTACAGTGTGTACGCCTGTGTAGGTCAAAGCCCCGATAGCTACTCCATCTTGCTCCCGGACAAGGTCCCAATCCATATGTCGAGGGACAGAAGCACACTGATAGTAAGCGATAGGAAACATCCTATGCATATCAGGGAGAAAGAAGTGGTGATCTTCTATTTGCCTCAACCACTTATAGTGGCTGCCAGTCACGATTTCTTTTTTGATGACGACATGATCGCCAAACAGGAATGCTGGTTTAGTAAGTTTTTTACGGGAGTCGGTTTCGAATTTGGCATCTGTCACCAAAATCCTGAGTACAGCTGAACTTGGATTCGAGATCAGGGCGAAACGATCCTTGTCGGAGTCCTGAAATATCGGGAGTTCTTGACGCAGATTGAATTGCATATTGGAATCCACGCCACCTTCGCGCCCGAAATGGTGACGAAGAGTAAGAGGTTCGCGGGAGTAGGGCACTGTAAAAAGAGAAAAGTACTCAGTTAGTCAATGAGGAAATAAAAACAAAAGGGAACTTTAATCAAATCTCTAGAAAGAGAGAAAGCCTTTAAGTGCACAGTTCAAATATGGCGTTCAAAAGTCTATTAACGTAGAGGTCGAACTCTGCGTCAAGCTCCCAAACGTACAGTTCAAATATGGCGTTCAAAAGCTTATTAACGCAGAGGCCGAACTCTGCGTCAAGCTTCCAAACGCACAGTTCAGATCTGGCGTTAAAAGTTTATCAACGCAGAGGTCGAACTCTGCGTTAAATATCCAAACACATAGTAAAGACCTGGCGTTAAAGTTTGTCAACGCAGAGGTCAAACTTTGTGTTAAATTTCCAAACGCACAGTTCAGATCTGGCGTTAAAAATTTGTTAACGCAAGGGTCAGGTCTCAACGTTTCAAATTCAAAACGCAAAGTCCCAACTCTGCGTTACAGGATCTAAACGAGTCATCTTCCTCGTTCACAAGAACCCATTTAGGGTTTTCAAAGAACTCGCCCAAGGCAAGTTTGACGGTTTTAAAAGTCAATACTTACCACCGATGGGAGGGGCCTGTGGCGGTGGCGCTACAGCAGCGGTTGATCTTGGACGGGAAATAATTTTCTTTTTCGGACCCATGGAAGATGAAGATCGGAGAAGATGAACAGGGTTTACCGGAGTAAAAAAACAAAGAGTCTTCGTTAAAAATCTTTCGAAAAAAGAGGAGGCAAAAAGTCGGATGACTTTTGATTTGACCCTTGGCGGTCTATTTATAAACAGCTATGAGCTGTCAAATCGGGGCGAGATTCTAGGCCCAGAATCCCGTTAAACGTGGCCTGTGCGTCAGCGTTGCTTGAACTTCCGAACGCAGAGTTCAACCCTGCGTTTTAATGTTTTAGCACAAAGAAATCTACCTGTGCGTCTGCATTGTTTGAACTTCTGAACGCATGATTCAACTCTGCGTTTCCATTCTATGGCATAGGAAATCTACCTGTGTGTGCTAACTCAACTAAACGGATCCCTCTATGTTTAAAACCAAGACATGGTTCCAAATAAATAGAGAGAGACTGATGGCAGCTATCAAGGTGACTAAAGGCAAGAAGAAATAGGCGACTCCACTGTGGAGTCTGTTGGATGAGTACAAACAGATTACAATCAACAACAATAAAACTATCAATCTCGATTCTACGCACAACCAAGTTCGCAATGTCTTCAGATTAGATGGAGTGAGCAATCAATCCACTAAATTTTGGGATCCAAAGTATTCCAAAAATTCGTCCCAGTCAACCGCGAACTTTCGAAAACTTTGGAGGGGGTTCTGTAGGCTGTCTAAAAATCATAATGGATAGCTGATCCCCATCAAGCCCCGGCAATGAAAGTTACAATCAGACGACTTTCTAATCACTGCATCCGCAACTCTACAATCGCTACGAACACGACCTCATCTCTGAGATGATTGATCTTGATGGCTGCGACAACAACATGACTAATATTATATTAGCAACTATTAGAGATGCTGATGAGCAGTGTAATGATTTCAGAAATAAAAGGTTGGACTTAGTTGGTGAGTCGCTTGGTAGAGAGCTGTGGGCTATGGATGATTGATTCCCGTCAAGTTTCAACAATGAAAGCTACAATCAAATAGCTTTCGTGCCGACAAACGAAGGTTGTAAATAGGAGACTTTTCACACAGATCGAGAAGAGTTACAATTCAACGACGCTTCCGACAGCTGACGAAAACTCTATTCAGTGACCTTCACAATCAACAGTGAGAGTTACAATTTGACGACTCTCATATCCTATAACAGGCAAAGATCAATAAGCAGTAGCCTTTGCAGTGTTATAATGGACGAGGTTACAAGTCAACAACCTCTCTCAAACGCAAAACTCACTTCTGCATTTCTCAAATTCAAAACGCAAGGTCCACATCTGCGTTTCCCAAGTTCAAAACGCAGACGAACTGTGCGTTCTCCAACAGACGTCCAACTCTGCAACGCAGAGTTAAAACACAAAACGCACGAACTATGCGTTCTTCGGCAAACACTCAACACTGCATCCTAAATCCAGGACGCAGAGTTGAGAACTCAACACACAAGCGGCCTGTGCGTCCCAAATCTCTAACAGAGATTTAACTCTGCGTCTCAAGCCTTGGACGCAGAGTTAAAACCCAGAATGCCAACTGGGGCGTTTTGACTTGTTCAAACACAAGCCGAACGGCCTCAAAACTGTTATCCCACGTTCTGAGGGATTTTCGCCCACTTAGGAGCGGATTTAGGGGTTGGTTACAACCCTAATCCCCCTATAAATAACTGATTTACTCAGTTGAGTAAAGGGTGGACATGTGCTGGCATCAAAACCGCTTAAGGTTAGCAAATTTCAGCAGCTAAACCGCACGGAGGAGGAGATCTCTCTGAAGATCAACAAACTACTCAGTAGTTGGCAGATCAAATCTGGGGAGATCCCTTTATCAACGGAATCAACTTGGCTATTAACCGAATCTTCGGTTCTAACAACTTTGTTACAGAGTTTCAACTCACTCTGAGTTCTGAAACTCATTTAAGAGTTCGTAATTAAGCTTGCAACGCAAGGTAATTACATCAAACCAGTTATTCGGTTCTCAACAACTCTTTTCAGAGTTTTCAACTCGCTCTGAGTTTATTAAACTTGTTAAGAGTTCTAAATCGAATTCATCAAACAAGTCAACCGTTCCAGTGAATCAAGACGGTCGGATCGTCAACGGAGAGCAAGTTCGACACAAGCAATCGAAGGAGGCACTCCATCGCTACCAAGAAGAACCCAGTTTTAAACAAAGGGGAGAATCAAATTCGTTCTCCTCTCTTTTGTAATCGGAATCCAAATTGTAATTGATTTTGAGTGGAATACAAGTCAATTTTTCTTTCATTGTCTTTTTACTGCAAATTTCCAACAAACAGATCTATAAAGAAGATGGTGGTATTATGTTATTCTAGCGGTAAATGAGATTTCTTTTGCAGAAGATGAAATACCTTTACTAGAGATTATGTAGATTTGATTGCCGGACGACATGCATCTACAAGATATGTTTGTGACGAGGGTTAAATCCAGACTGAAACGCTCGTGCACTCAAATCAGTTATTTATAGACAAGAATTGTAATCTAAAATGCTTGAAATGTAAAATATGTTCATACTTCTTACACTATCATATGGAGAAGATGAAGGTGATGATTCCTTCTTCCTTTTTTTTTTGGGCGTGTGGGGGATAGGGGTTAAGGTAATTCCTCATCCATTGTTTAGTGTTGATCTAATTATTATTTAGGATTATGAACCGTAAACCTAATAGAAGGACTAATGTAAATGAATTAAGATAGTTTAGATGAGAAATATCAAAATAAGAAGGTCTGGAGGATTAATATATAAAATGCCTATGATATGATTTAAGCGACTAGTAATTTTTTTTTTTTAAACCTAAGCGTAAATGTCGTGCTGTGGTTGTCGGGCCTTGAGGCTCCATGTTGGTTGGGCTTGGGCTGAAGGTTCGTCATAGTGCAACGGATACCCATTTCCATTCATCTGGTTCCTTCATCTCCTTCTTCGTTCTCTCCGATTCCCAAAAACTCCATGATCACATCACCCTCTCTATCAGCCCAAAAAAACGAAGTAAAATAGCTCCTCCACCGTTCAATTCCTCCTCCTCTTCCATTCTGTGTCTCGGAAGGGGTAAATACCTTTGTGCGGGGAACTGTGTAATCTCTATTTATTCGCGTTCAATCTCTGTTTAGAGTCGATTGAGCCCCAGAATTGTGAAACAAAGAGATGCGTCGTTCGAGGTCATCCGCTGCTTTTGTTGTCAAGAGAACGATTTCGACGTCACCTCTTCTCTCTCAGAGATTAAAGCAAGCAGGTTAGTGGCACTACGTCGAGAATTTTTCCCTGATGAATTAAATAGCCCTGCTGCTATGTGGAAAACCTTAAAGAGGCGATTTTGATGCCTGGGTTTTGTTCAAGTTAGAAGTTTGTAGGCGTTTCAGCTAGATGTCAAAAGTAAAGGGGCAGTCACTGTTTGCGTCGAACCTTGTTCTGAATTCACCCGAGGGCAGTAGAAATTTTAGGACCACTTCAGATCACATCAACATAGGGTGGGTTTTAATGTGTTTAAAAGGAGCCATTGCCTTCATGGTCATTTGAATGTAGGGATTTTGATGCCAGGGATGCATAACAGGTAAACAGAAAGTTACTTTATTTTTAGGGTTAAGACAGACTGTCATACTTTAAACTACGACTAATTTTGGAGCAATTAAGGGATTTTGGGGATTTATTTTACGATATGAAAGTTCCGGGGGACTTTGTTCAGTAGCAAAGTGTTTGCACCAATTCTTTTGTCTGTATTTGTTTAAGCTTTAAGGAGAGCAGACTTTTCGAGCTACTTCAAACTATGATTAATTCACGAGTTTTAATTGATATTACGCTGCCACCTCTGACTGATTCCCAAGAACTGTGACTTTTTTTTCTTTCTAGAGAACGAGATAGTTCAGATGTTCAAACTTCCAACCCTGAATGACCATTCTGGCTCATCACCAACCCCGGGAACAAGAACAGAAAGAATTGATCGCTCTGTTCGATCGTTGGACGAAAGATTCTTAAGAATATTGAAGATATTCAAATGGGGTCCTGATGCCGAGAAAGCCATGGAGGTACTAATGCTCAAGGTTGATCACCGCCTTGTTCGTGAGGTTTTGAGAACAGACGTCGATGTAAGTGTCAAAATGCAGTTCTTTAAATGGGCAGGAAAAAGAAAGAATTTTGAACATGACGCAACCACCTACATGGCCTTGATTCGTTGTCTCGAGTCAGAAGGACTTATAGGTGAAATGTGGAAAACAATCCAAGATATGGCTAGAAGTGCTTGTATAATTACCCCAATTGAATTATCCGACGTCATCAAGATTTTAGGGAAGGCAAAGATGGTAAACAAAGGCATTTCGCTCTTTTACCAAATAAAGGCACGAAAATGTCGTCCTACATCAAATGTGTACAATAGCATGATCGTTATGCTAATGCAAGAGGGTCATCATGAAAAGGTGCACGAACTCTACAATGAAATGTGCAGTGAGGGAATTTGTTTTCCTGATACAGTAACTTATAATGCTCTTATTGCAACTTTTGGCAAATTGGGTCGCGAGGATTCTGCAGTTAGGTTATTTGAGGAGATGAAAGAGAACCGAATGCAACCTACAGCGAGGATTTACACAACATTAATGGGCATGTTCTTTGCATCAGGAAAAATTGAGAAGGCTCTCGCTTTGTTTAGTGAAATGAAAGATCATTGTTGTACCCCAAATGTCTTTACGTACACCGAGTTGATAAAGGGGCTTGGTCAAGCTGGACGAATTGATGATGCTTATCACATGTTTATTGAGATGCAACAGGAAGGTTGTAAGCCCGACACAGTGCTCATGAACAATCTTTTGAATATTTTAAGCAAGGCCGGGCGTCTAGATGATGTCATGAAGACATTCAAAGAAATGGAGTCTCTAAATTGCATGCCAAATGTGGTTAGCTACAATACTGTCATTAAAGCACTTTTCGAATCTAAAAATCACTCATCAGAAGTAGCTTCTTGGTTTGAAAAGATGAAGGAAAGAGGAATTGTTCCTAGCGAATTCACCTACGCAATTCTCATCGACGGATTTTGTAAAACAAATCGAGTGGAGAAAGCATTAATGCTTCTTGAAGAAATGGATGAAAAGGGATTTCCTCCATGTCCTGCTGCTTATTGTAGCTTGATTGATGCTCTTGGAAAAGCCAAGAGGTATGATGCTGCTAGTGAGTTATTTCAGGAACTAAAAGAAAATTGTGGGCCTTCAACTTCTCGAGTGTATGCTGTGATGATCAAGCATTTTGGTAAATGTGGACGTCTTAATGATGCTATAGATCTCTTTGAAGAAATGAAGAAACTTGGATGCATTCCTGATGTTTTCGCTTATAATGCTCTTATGTTGCTTCGAACTATGAAAGAACATGGGCTCATGCCTGATATAAATTCACATAATATTATATTGAATGGGATTGCAAAGGTTGGAGGTCCTATTAGAGCAATGGAAATGCTGGACAACATGAAGATTTCTAGAATAAAACCAGATGCTGTGTCGTATAATACTGTGCTTGGTGCTCTTAGTCGTGCTGGTATGTTTGAGGAGGCAGCTAAATTGATGAAAGAGATGAGTTCAAATGGATTTGAGTATGATCTTATTACATATTCGTCGATACTTGAAGCCATTGGAAAAGTTGATGATGGACTTACAAGATGAGCTTGTTAATGACCTGGTATGATCGTCCTTATTTTAATTCCGGTGGTTTTCTACTAGTTTATTACTGAGATAATTCATGTGTCACCTTGCTTTTTTGTCATTATTGATTCCTAGGATTCATCTCTTTAAATTGGATTCTCATGATTTAATCTATGGGATTTTGTGACTTACTTGTTAGAATGGATCTACACGATTTTCCAGTTAATTATTAGGCAACCCCTCGAGGTATTATCAGATATTAGAAACCTCCTGACACTGTCTTTTCATTACATATACAACCCTTCTGGTTAATCTGTCTTTTTTTCCGGTTTAATGAACATCTGGCAATGGTTTTTATATTTGTTTGTAATATTCAACTGTAACATCTGTTTTTTTATTTTTATTTTTATTTCCAGTGAAGAGTGAAGTTCTTTTCTTTTTCATGTTAAAAACATGTTTATCAATGAAAGTATAGTATTCTCGTTTTCTTTCTTGTATTACTTTTTAATACACAAACATTCAGTTGTAAAAGGCAACCATGAACTTTTAAATTATCAAATCGTCCAGAATAGATGTTGTTAAACAGTACCCAGTTGATCTCTCTTTTGAATTTCGGTCTTAAAATCTGCTGACGATCCTATGCGAGTTTTTCCAAATCCATTCATACAAAGTCCTCTTCACTTGTATCTCTCTCTTTATTCCCTTCCTTGATACATTATAGTAAAATTAGTTACATAACTTAAATTGTATACCATAAACTCACATTTAGTTCTATCAGTACATACCATGACAAGTCTGCTGAGAATTTCAGTTTCCTTTTTGTGTGCATAAAGAATGCCTAGCTTGAAAAGATGCACTGAAACTGTTACACTAAAGCCTCCATCATTCACTTTGTTTTGTAGTCAGATTTCATCTGGAGAAAGTCACTGAACAGAACTTCTCCCCAATTATATCAAGGAGCACCTTCATCTGCGCTTGCACACTTTCAAGGGATTGCAGGGATTGCCTCCAACTAAAGCTCTGATGGAACCTAGATACTTCTCAAATATTTTCGAAACAAAGCTATTTGCCCTGTCAAGATGAGAAATGTACCGAAGGGTTTAGTATACCAAATGCCTGGGTTTTAACTTTTAACGTAGAGGCTCTTCTCACATGATTTGGGTTCTAAGGGTTAATTGCACACACATCCCTGCAGTTTCATTGTTGCAGATACGTCCCCTGATTTATTTTTATTTTTACTTTCGGCTCTTATGGTCTCAGATAGACCTACTAATTTCACCCGAGGGCAATGGCTTTCAAAATTTCACCCGTGTTAAAACAATGGGGGT